CGCCGGGGGCGGGCGCGGGGCGGTGGGGCCAGGACAGCGCGGCGGCGGCGGCGGCGGACGCGGCGCGCAGATAGGTAGAGGCCGCGTCCTCGATGGTGCCCGGGTCCGCATTGGCGCGCGGCGCCGCCATGGCAATCATCTAATGAAAGGGGGATGCACGCGAAAAGCGCACAGCAGGTGAGCATTGTGGATGCTGCAGTGAGGGGCCCAGCTGGCACTCTTGCTTGCCTTTCGGTAGCCCATTGTGTGCCTGCCGTGGCTGAGGCCAGGACTCAACACACAGGCAGTCACGCCAGGTGGCGCGACCTGGCCCTACCCAGGTGCAGCTGAGCCAGGCACGGCACAGCCCTTCCCCGCATGCTGCCGCGCCGCCCCATGCTGGAGGCACGGTCACGCCGCGGGCGGTCCACCTCCAGACTTTTCAAACGCCGCGAGGCGACAGCTGGCTCGCGGCTGTTCGAAATTTCAAACACAAACCTCGGTGACGCCTGTCAGAAGGTAGAACTCAATCTGGAAGGCCGCCAAGGGGCCCTGGGTCGCCTGCAGCATGTCACCTACCGCCACGCGTCTGTGCGACGACGCGCCCTGCGGAAGCACAGGCAGCGCCCAGGGTTCAGGGTCCAGGTTTCAGGGTTCGGACTCCAGGTTTCAGGGTTCAGGGTCCAGGTTTCAGGGTTGAGGATCGACCAGCACCGCTACCAGGTTTCACGCGCCCTGTGTGCAAAGGGGCCGGCCCCGCACCCACCTGGATACTCGCGAGCGCCAGCAGCAGGCGCCCCTCAAACAACTCCGGCGCCGCCAGCGCCGCCGCCGCAAGCTGCGCGTGGTGCGTCGCCGTGGTCAGGTCCCCCACCGCGCGGCGGTGCGCCGCCAGGGGCCCCGCCCACTGGGCGCTGAAGGAGGCGGCGGGGCCGGGCGCGCCGGACAGGCGCGCGACGGCGCCGGACGTGACGAGGCACACGCCGTCCATCATGACTTGCAGCAGGGACTGCGGGGTTTGGAGGGGCAGGGTTTGGGTTTGCGGTTTTGTGTTTCGGCGGGAGGGGGGGGGGGGTTAGGGATTGATACTGGGGTGGTGGCGGGGG